ACTGGGGCGGTATACAAATAAACTATATTATTATATTATTATTATTATGAAATAGATGGGCTGAAAAAACTGTGGTGGGGCTGTGCTGGCACCGTTTGTGCCTGGGCTGCAGCGACTGCAAGTGCCTAGTCCCGATCCGAGCTGCTGCTGTGGTTTTGAACCAGGCTGGCAAAAGGAGCAGTTTTTGTCCACTCCTTTTTTGGCCCAGTTCTTTATAAAAGACACAGCCTCAGTGCAGTTTCTGGCCATGCTTGGGGCATGGGTCATCCAAATGCTATGCCCCAAACATGGCCAAAAACCAGTTTATTTTGGCCCATCTGTTTCGAGCTGGAGTAGCCTTGCAGCAACAGGGTGACAGAACAGATGCTTGCAAGGGGCTAGCTCTTCCCTGATCACTACTATTTCCTCACCCAAACCATGCCCACTGACCTCTCAAAATCAGCATAAAAGTGCTATTGAACTTTCAGACTGGAAATCATAACTATAAAGCTAAAGAAAGTCTTTATAGTATGGTCTTCCATGTGACAACAATGAACAATGACAATGTCATGTGGGAGACCCCAGCCAAAGGCACTATTATCCTGGTGCTAGTGTGCTCCACTGGCCCAGGGAATAAATTCCAAGGAACTAAGGTGAAATCAAGCATGCATGATTCATTGCACTGACACGAGAGCAGATCCCAAGTCTTCAGTCTGCCTTCACTGTGGGCAACAAGTGTGCAGAGGTAAATTGCCAGGAACCACAGTTCTAAGTAGACATCTTAAAAGGCAGTACTAAGCAGTCTTGCTCACCAGGCAGAAAACTCCCAGCAGCTAGGCAACAATTCTGAGAGCCAAAGAACAACAACACAATGCTGGGGGTTTAGTGTTTCCTCCCCTTCAAGAGGTTTAGCCAGGCAACTACAGAAAAGATGGGTTAGGGGAGGTTTAGGGCCTTGGGATAAACATATCCATTATCAGCCCAGATCACCATATTCCTTAAGGGAGATTAGTTACAGATATCTCACCACTTGGTCTTTGGGTCCTATTTCCTTATGCTGTACTGGTAGAATAAAGTACCCTTTCCTCAAGTAAGCTGTCATTACGTTTTCATCATCATTGTAATTGTCCTATGTGATCATCAGTTAAACTTTAGCAGACCGGCTGATGTGATTGATCATTACCTGACTGATCATTACCTGACTGATAATCTTTGGTGTAGCTCTGCACACTGGGGGGTCCATTAGTTAGCAGTGGGCAAAGTGTGGCCTTTACTGGCATTATTGAGAGACAGCATGGTGTAGTGGTTTGAGTGTTGGACCACAACTCTGGAGACCAGGGTTCAATTCCCATTCAGTCATGAAACCCACTGGGCGACCTTGGGAAAGTCACATTCTCTCAGCCTCTGGGGAAGGCCATGACAAACCTCCTCTGAACAAAACTTGCCATGAAAACCCCAGGATAGGGTTGCCTTAGAGTTGCCATAAATCAGAAATTACATGAAGGCACATAACAACAAACTTATTGTTTTGGCTCCCAGGCACTTCAGAGGTCAAAAATCACCCCCAAAATGACCTCTAAGGGGGTCTGGGGATATTTTTGCCATATTTAGGGGCAA